CACAATAACACTATCTGTCAGTGTCTCCATTATCTGCCTTTTATGTGATACAGGCTCATGTCTTGTTCAAATAGTGATTCAACAGCTCTCGGAAGTAATCAATAAAATTAAGTATGTGCGTGGTAATGATGCAATAGGCCTGTCAAGCTCTTTATGATATGTATTATATCCAACTCTCATGGGTGGGTGGCCGAAAGAAGAACATACATTTTTCTTACTTGGCTGTGCACATACAATGATTGAGGTCAGAGCAGTGTGCACATTTTTCATATTCTCAGTAGCAGCAGGCAGTTTTGCAGTCTTGTCCTCCCACTGCTTTATTCTAATCTTTTCTGTTCTTCTCTTGCTGCATTCCTTCTAGTGCCTTTGTTGTACTTAATCCACTTTTTAGGATACGTATAGTAAACTGAAATAACTTTGGTTATTGAAATATTAGACATGTACAGATTCTTCTAAATGCACCAAAAATAAACTGACCACCTTAATTAAAGGAAAAAGCAGCAATCACGGAAAAGGCAAGCTAGCACAAGGTGGTGTTACGTGAGGTAGAGCAAATAAAATGATCAGTTACTCTGTCATCTACCTGACCAAGTATGGGGAGAAATGTTACTTAAAAAAAAAAAAAATCGGAACAATGCATTTGTTTGAAAGAAGTGTCACTGGTGTTATTTTCTAGGAAAAATTCACATTATATTATAAACATGAAAAGGCCAAATTTCTACCTCTAAAATGCTGTTTAAGATAATCTCTTGATAAGAGACATATTGTGTCCATGTCCTCTGACTATTCAACATGTATATTTCCACAAGCCAGAAGGCCATCCTTATCTTTAACAAATCCATATTTCCAAACTAACCCCCAGTCCTCTTCCCCTTTCCCTTTTGTAATCTGCATGCAAGATATATCCACCACTGGAGCATCAGCAACCTCTATCCTGAGCCTGAACAAGTCTGTACCGCAACTTCTGCTTTGGATATACATGACTATTCCTCAAGATGTGTGCCTGTCTATCCAGCTTCAGAACTGTGAAGGCAGTCAGCACAGACATCAAACATCCTTTAAATAAAGCTCCACAGCTTTACCCACTTTTGTGGTTTCCCGGGTCAAATACTACTGTGTTAAATTGCATTTCTGGGAGCTTCTGGTGTACGAGGCCTTAGGTGAACCACACCTCTATGATATCCCCATAGCTGACCACATCTGACAGAGCCCTGCAAGATGACACCTCTAGAGCTCTGCTTCTCTTTTATGATCTCAGATGATTGCTCACCCCCACGGATAACCTAACGTAAAATAGTGAAGACATGAGAGAACACAAGAGAAGCAATGCATCTGGAAACTGTATAAGGAGTGCTGACATGCCACCTATTTGCTACTCAGTTCTATAACAACTTTCAAAACTGTCACCACTCTTGAAAATAATCCCTTTGTCTGAGGGACCTTCAGTATTAACTGGAGAAAATACAGTGTTGTCTTCACGTAAAACATAGGTCTATCAATACTGCTCTTTCAACTGTGTGTAGATTATCTTTTATAGAAATAAGAGCACATTGTTAGTATTCAAAAGGTTATTCACAATAAATTAGAGAACTTCTGTCAGATTCAGAGGGACTACTGCAGAGAACTCTCATAGAAACAGAGGACTATGCAGTAGGAGCACTGCAATGGACTGACTCCCAGTGATGAGACATTTCTGTCTTGACTCTTTCCTTATCCCAAAACTCTTCACAGAACATTATTAGAGCAGTCTGAAATCCTGCCTGCAGTCTGTGTTGGGTTACCTCTAATTGCTTATCTTGATAAACACAGAATAGAAGTGTATAAAGCCAGAGCAGAGAAGTGGAAAACTTTGTGAAGGGCTCTCTTCTCTCAGTTCGTTTGGTTGCATTCAGTCAGTGTCTTGAATGTCAGAACCTGATGTGAAATTGTTGGATGATTTCAGATGATTTTGGAACAAATCTAAGATTAATATGAGTGGTTTTATATTTTAGAATTGATTGGCTTTAAAGATGGTAATTCAGGAGATGTAAACCTTCTACTTGAGCCGAGAACTGATATACTGAACCTGTATTATTTCATATTGAGTTGTATTTCATTAATAATCATGAGTGTGTACTTCATTTTAGGTTTATAAACCCAAGACAATGAGAGTTAAATAACTGCACTATTTTTTTCCGGAAGTGTTTATATTTATTTTACGTAAATATCTACATTATATATCCACTGTCAATAAAATGTATTTTAAGAAACTTATTCCCTTACTTTCTCCATAACTATCAATCAAAATAGAAAAAGCAGGGGGTTTATGCCCCCACATAATCAGAATAAAGATTACATGGGTTTAAATGCATCAAAGGATTTTAACCAACATTCATGCTCCATTTTTCTTTCACAACGAGATCTAATTTTGAGTATGAGGCCCAAATGATTACTTCAGCAACCAAGTGCCAGTTATTAACAGCTACCTAAGTGCTTAGTTTGATACAAGTTCTCTAGAGATTTTTCTTCTTTCAGGATTATTATTTCTTAATTTGTTGACTAGCAAGCATGTAAAAGCAGAAGTCTGAGAAAGCTTTGCCTTTTCCCTCAATGTTACCTTTGCTCCTTATTTGACTAGGTCTGAGTGATGATAAATAGCACATTCTGCTTATCGGTTATATTGATTTATGCTCCTATTTTTTTAATTAAAAGTATTTTGTGTTCGCTGTTCCGTTATAATCTTGGAAGTGTCAGTTTGTAATTTGTATTAGATATAAAATTATAATAATCTGTTTTAAATTGCTAATTATTTCAACTGTTGGAATCCAAAATGGCTATGCATTGTTTCTGAATTCAGATATTTTTTATTGGAAAGTTGTAGGAAAATCAGTCAGTAATTTCAGAGACGAATTTTTGAAGGGAAGGGGGAATCATTTCATTTACCTTAGCACATTCTCAAAGCTGTTTAACTGAGAAATTCTTGTGTTTCCACGTTCTGGAAGGAGTTAAAATTTATTTGACTGATGATGACCCACCCAAGACAAATTATTATACACATCTAAAAATCTCTGCTTACATATTCTTTGCAGGACATAGGGGCTGAAAATTGTTCTCTTAGGCTTTTGTGTGCACTGAACAAGCATTATAAGGACGACAGTTTCCTGCCCAAACTTTCTCTATTCCAAGGCTACTGTGTCTGTGAAGGTCTTTCCCTGTTGGAGAATGGCTCAGAGACAAGGGTCCTGAGCCCACCGAGCAATTGTACGATCAGAGCCTGTTCTAGGGGCTGATGCTGGGCCTCACTAGGGTTTGCCTGCAGCTGCTCGCAGCTGCTGATGCATGAAGAATGTCAAGGACGCTTCGGCCTTGTGTACCGTGGTGTGTCGAAAACAGGTTAAGGGGAATTAGAAATAGTGGCACAAGAAACTTAGTGTTATGAGAAGCTTGTGCTGTTAGCTAACTGCAAGTAGGTGGACCGTGCGAATATGACCTTTAGAGCTTAAGCCAATCACCTAGTGACTAGTAGGCATAATAATTATCGTTGTCTGTATAAATATATGTACCCTGGACCAATAAAGGGACATGTTAGTTGATGCTCTATCACCCACATTGAACCCGTCTCGGCGTGTCGTTCTTCCGCGGCTCCACATTTCCCTGTAGTTTTTATGATGTTTCATAGAAGATAAACGCATTTGTAAGGCCTGTAACACCCTGGGAAGAGCATATATTGGGAACTTGTTGAATATCATTCTATTACTCTTATTGCCCAGTAATATTGCTTATTGTCAACTTACGCTGAAGAGAGTACATGATAATTGAAAATTACATTTTTCTGAGAATAATAAATTTTCTTAGTGGGAAATAAAATCCCTGAGATAATAAACTATTTGTGCTTGATGTTGTAAAGAAACTGTGCACAATTTTTTTAAAAATCAGTAGAATCTCATCATTATAAAGTAGAGCCCTCAAATATTGTCAGGGCTCTACATTTTAAGACATTCATTAGTAGTAGAACCACTCCCACGTAGTAAATACATGACCTTTGATAGCAAAATTGTGTGATGGTGAGTTTTTTCGAGAACAGTAACCTTGAATTCTAAATATTCTGTTTGAGGTAATTTTGTTGAGAAGATACGTAAAATACTGTCATAGAGAAAATAGAAGTCCAGTGCTTTGCTTTTTGTTTAAAGACAAGCATATGGAGTGTGCCTCAGTAAACTACTATGTAGCCAACATGTTGTTGAAAACAAATGTCTTCTTCCCAAACCAAAAACTGTCCCAAGTGTCCCAACAATATATTTACCAGCTTTGGACTTTACAAAAAGTTGTTTGATGTAAATTGAACATGTTTCTTGTATTATTTTTGTTGTCATTGTATCAGAATATCACTCCATTTCTGTCTGGGGAGACTGGTAAAAATAAATTTAACATGTACAGAAGATATAAAATGTCAAGGGAATCTGAGAACTGGTTAGGAGTAACTCTGCCTTTCTTTGTGAATTGGGTCATATAAATTTCATACCCCACCATATTTCTATATGCAGGCTGTGGTGTGACTTTGCCTTAGCTTCCACCCTGCTTCTGGCCTCCCAGCTTGTTCACCTGACTCTCCTTCAGAGACTGACAAAGTATGTGTCCTACTCACCCTCCCTGGCTGTGACTTGACACTACATCATACACAAACATCCTTAACTTAACAAATACTTCAAAATACGCTGTGATATTTGGATGTTCTTGCAAGTTGAATGCTTTCATAGTCCAAGCTGAGTAAAATGCAAACAATAAAGTATCACAGAGTGAAAAATAAACTGATATGTGGCAGTGCCAGTGAACCAGGTACAGATATACATCTTATATCCTTAATATTTTTAACTTTACAGTTCCCTATAAAAATTCTAATTTTCATTTAAAGTCTGCTGCTATTTACTAAGCTGTTCTGTATTTATGTAAAGCATTTATAAACCTGGATATGAATTCACATTTTCTCTTATTTTTTTCTTTTCTTTTACTTCCTCTTTCAGGAACTTGAATTTCAGGATCTGACGGCAGTTTTACACTGTATTCATTCCTTTATAGCAGCAAAAGTGGCATCTGTGGATCCAGTATTCATAGACAGTCAGAGTATTGCAAGAAAATACATGTACAGTAACTGATATCAGATTATATGTTGTGACTATGGAAAATAAATTATTTTCTTAAAGAAAGTAGTTACTTCATGCACAATATTACAACTTTGTGATTTTATAAGTCTATAGTTGTGTTATATGTAACGTTAAGAGTTTTCACAATTCATCAAATATTTTGAATCTATGAGTTAACAAATATTAAGTCAAACTGCATCAGTTTGTCATCTTCAGCATTAATCTAAAATTCTAAGTGAATATTCATTCAGTAATGTTTGTGGTGTCATTTTGATTTCTGCTCTCATGGTCATACATACTGCCCCTTATTAGAAACATGGAATACTATTTCATAGAATCATAGAAACATAGAATGGTGTGGTTTGGAAGGGACCTTAAATATCATCGAGTGCCAACCCCCCTGCTAAGGGCAGAGACACCTTCCACTAGACCAGGTTGCTCAAAGACCCATTCAACCTGGCCTTGAACCCTTCCAGGGAGGGGGCAGACACAACATCTCTGCGCAACCTGTTCCACTGTTTCACCACCCTTGCAGTAAAAATTTCTTCCTTGCATCTAATCTAAATCCTCTGTCTTTCAGTTTAAAGTCATTACCCCTTGTCCTATCACTACATGCCTTTTTACAAAGTACCTGACTGGCTTTCTTGTAGGTCCCCTTTAAGTACTGGAAGGCCACTCTAAGGTCTCCCCAGAGCCTTCTCTTCTCCAGGCTGAACCACCCCAACTCTCTCAGCCTGGCCTCACAGGGGAGGTGCTCCAGCCCCCTGATCATCTTCATGTACCCTTCTCTGGACCCACTACAACAGGTCCATGTCGTTCTTATGTTGGGGGACCCAGAGCTGGACACAGTACTCCAGGTGTGGTCCCACGAGAGCAGAGGATAGGGGGACAATCACCTCCCTCGACCTGCTGGTCACACTACTCTTGATACCGCCCGGGATACCGTTGGCTTTCTGGTCTGCAAGCGCATGTTGTTGGGTCATGTTGAGCTTCTTGTCAACCAATACCCCCAAAAGTGTGTGTCCAAAATTTGGCCTCTGAGTCTGTTTTGAAAAGTGCTGAGCGCACAGACAATTTCCACAGCCTTCACTGTAGAAAAGAACTAATTATTGAAGATAACTGCCATAGGAATTGAACTTTTATCTTGCTTCTATGTTTAAAAAATTATAGTTCCACAGTCCAGTACTTTTTAGGCCTGAGAGTTTAGCTCTGGCAAAACACTAAGTATTGTAGTTCAAGTCAAGGAAAATATTTAAGCACACACTTGACTCTAAGCATATTAAGTAGCCCCAGTGTATGCACAAGGTAATGTTAAGTCTATATTTAAATACTGTGGTAGATCAACTGAAGAGCTTTAGACTCCATTAAGAAGCCTAACTATAGGCACTCAGTTTTAGAAAACTCACCATAGGGGTTTCTTATCTATTAATAAAGCTTCCATGATTCATTCATTTATTCATTCATAGATTGCCTTGACACTATCCTTTGATGTGATGCTCTGTGTGGTTTAAAACTTCTTTAATAACTGTTTTGTTTGGAGGAAGATGCTCCCAATATAGGGTGAACATAACAAAACATAAAGATTTTTCTGGGCCATCTACCTTTTTTTCCCTACAGCTCTAAACCTGACATATACAATTGAAGTGGTTTTTGTTCTTGCTAAGGAAATAATATGGTTCTACTTTTGACATATTCCTAATCTTTCTTCTGAAATCTTATATGCACAGATAATACTCCCTGCTATCAAAAAAAAAAAAAATATATATAAAAGGAGGACATTTTAATCTTAGGGCATATTCCCTCTAAGTAATACCAAATGTTGCAGGTTTCTGTGCTAGAAGTCTCAGTTGTTGTCAAATGCAGTTTTGAGGCAGAATCAGGCATTTTTTTTTTCCAAGAAAATTAAAAAACACCAAAGAACCAAGCAAGAATAATATCCTAAATAGATACAATGGATATGGAGTGAATTCATCAAAGTATTCCCTAAAATTTAGGAGTCTAATAAAGCATCCTGCTAAAGTAAAAGCCTAAAGTTATGGTATCCTAAGGAAAAGAGGTAGGTGCCTTTAAAAGCTCTCAGGTGAGGAGTGGTTTTACACAATTTCAGTGCTTAAATTTAGTCAGAGAACTTCCCCTTCTCAGGTTTTAAGACAGTTAGCTTGTGTGGCAGACTGCAGGGGCATCAGGCACTTAATTTAAATGGATGCTTATCTGTCCACCTAAATTTTAGGCTCGAGTGAAGAGGTAATGGGAGATTTGATCCTACCATAATGATTATCTGTTGCCAAGTGTTATGCACAGAGAAATTGATTTGAACAGTAGGGACTCTGTCTGCAATTCCAGTGTTGTTTATGGTTCTAATGTTGTTTGCAAGTAGGCATATTAAGAGTGCTAACTCCTGTTAAAAAAAATATTTAGCAAAGGTAAGAAATATTTTTATTAATTATAAATAAATATTTATGGCCATTATGGTGTTTTTTAACAAATATAATATCAATTTCATACTATTTTTTTAAATCAATCAAAAAATTGCCTTTCTCAAACATGCTATTTTTCAAAATGTTTCATTTAATTTTCAGCTTTCCATTTTATTTTCAGCTCTTTGTATTTACTGAGATTTTAACATACACAAATTATAGCATTAACATTGAAATAGCTTTCTCTACAATCAATTCTCAGTTATCAGCATCAACAATTATAAATGACAGAGTGTCTGTAGGATGAAGAATAATGAAATTCCTTCAATTTTGTTGTTCTGCTATTTTCTTATATATCAAGTTTAACACTAACATGGAATAGTAGAAAACTGTACGAGCTTGTACTGAAGTAATACTACAGTCAGGTATCGTGATTAAATACACATCATATCTCCCCAAATACTGTAAATAAAAACTTTTAAAAAGTTAAGCTTAGTTTATTAAATAATCTTTCGTTTCTACCAAAAGTTCTGCAGTTCAAAATGAGTATTACTATATATATTTATTTTTTTTTTTTTGCAAGAGCAACTGGCCATTGCACATTTCCATTAACAACATTTAGAATTTTTATATGAAGTTGCTTATACTGATTTGAAGTAATTTTGTTATTTATTTCAAGAAATTTTTAATTTCTTGTAGTACTTTGGTGAGCTATGTTCTCTACCATTTTTTCAAGACAGTACTGTTTTCTGATGTGTCAAAATCAATCTCAAGGAATATTAGAGAAATACTTTTTATAAATTCACCCTCTGAATTTTAGGATTGTATTTTAGAAATAATTCTCTAAAGAGATTTTTAATGAGGAACCTTGCAGGGACTAAAGGCCAGTCTTCTGAGGAAGTTGCCAGAGCCTGGGAAAAGCTAATGGACTGCTAGTTAGTCAGATGTTATATAAGTTGTATCGGACTTCCACAGCACCTTGCATTTCTCTGTAATTCTCTTAACAGGGTAAAATATACCTCATGTGAAAATGTTGTGCTTCAGATTTCTTTGGTTGCTTATGCACCTTTGTTATATATTTTTATGGCATGTTATTTTGTCATTGCCTTCAGAGTGTGTGTCGCATAACATGCATATATATTTTTCCCCATCAAAATTCTTGAGTATTTGCACCACTGTTGATGTCTTTAGCAGCAAAGAGTAGAATTCACAAACTGTAAATATATTTAATATATTTGCTGGCAGGTAGGTATCTTCTGCTGTCTCCTCTCAGGAATTGCATAAAGAGGCAGCAGACAGTTGCTTTGTGGTGTTTTGGCAGCAAGGACGTCAATTATCTAACTGATAATCAAAACAGAAAACAAATTTTAATATGCTTTATTTTGTACTTGTTATATATTAAGCTTCGTTCTTACCTCATTAGTCATTTGCATATAGTTTTCCTTTATTTTTTTTTTTCTAGGGAAACAAAGTGGTATCAGAGTTGAATAAGGGGTAGGAGGAAACAGGCATTTGCTATAGCAGAGCCATAAACAGCGGACTGGGGAAAGAAGCATGCAAACATAGTGTTAGAAAATTGTGCACCATCACAAAATCAAGGTAGCCACTTATGACTAGAAACAGAGTAAAGCCGGGATAATTTCTATACATCCAGATTATGTCTTTAATTTAAATTAAAATCTTGGTTAAAAGGCTAAAAACAATCCCATTTACAAACATGATTTTGCACAAATGGGTAGTACCATTGATTTAAAGCAGAGCAAGGCTCACCAGTGACAAATTAACAAATGGTACAGCATGGACTTGGACACTGGACTTGAATCATACTGTTGATTTGTTTAAATAATTTCTGTCATTTTTTGCTCTACAGTGATTAAAATCTGCAGCAAAAAAATCCTGGACACAGTCAAGCAAGAGTCAGCTCAGGTCTGTGCCAGTGAGTGGCTTGGTTGTGCTACCCTGCTTAAAATAGCAGGGATTGATAGACAGAATGTGGCCAGACCCTGCCAGATGGCCTCAGGGATAGAAAACAGGCCCTGACAATTTTATTTATAAATTTAGATGTTACCAGAGAGTCTCATTGACTTCAGTGGGGGCAGGGCCTCAGCTACTGTGATTTCTGTCCTTGAGCCAGTAGACCTGAAGCTTAAACAAGAAAATTTTTCTGGGGGTAGAGGGCTAAGCTCTGACAAACTTTGCAACTATAAGTTTAAAATCCTGTCCTATATCATAATTACATTAATTCATAACTAACTTCAGACAAGGCATGCCTGTTCCGCAAAAACTTTAATGTATCGTCTGATCTTTGTAGCAGCATAATCAGTATTTTAAAATATCTGAATTCCTTTTTAAGTATATTTTCATAACTATACTTATTTTCATAAATGCTTCTACTAAAGTATACTTTCATAAATGCTTTTACTAAAATACTGTCAGTATTTTATAATGCCTCACCACTCACCTGAATATCTTCTCCATCAGACTGTTCAGAGCTGAGTATGTGTAACAGCAATGCAATTTTTATGTTTTTTGTTGACTGCTGTGGTTGATTTTGCATTTAATATAGTTTGTTCATGTCCTCTAATAAGCTTGTGAGGGCAGAGAAGGTGAACATTAGAAAGGGAACCCTTTCCTCCAAGCTCTTGTGAGAGACAAAGAGATGTCAGTGATGATTTCTGTCCCACTTTCCAGTGCATGGGAAATGGACTAAAAC